GGAGGCGATGACCGCCCCGTACGACGGCGACCCGTGGTCGGGCAGGGGGTCGTACCAGCCATCGGCCTCCACCGACGTGCCATCCCAATGCGGCATCCGCAGGGAGCAGCCGCGGGCCCAACTGTACCACACGAAGTCGCCGCGCTCCGGGAGGGACCAGTCCAACCGTTCGGAAAAATCGAGGATGGCCTCCGCGTCAACCGGGTCGAACGACGTCCCCTCGAGGATGGCGGCCACCCCGACCGATCAGATGAGCTGCAGAAGCCCCGCCGACAAACGGAAGAGAGAGCCTCGCTCGCCGGGTTCATTCCCGGTCCGGCTCGCTAGGCGAGGGTCCGGACACTTGGTGAAGAACGGGAGGCCGTCCCGTGCGGCGTGTAAGAAACACAGCAACGCCAGGACGGCCCACTCCGAGAGCAGGATGGCGTCGATCAGCCGACGCATCCCGGGCGTCGCCTCTCGCCCGAAGGAACCGTCCGGCATCCACCGCGCTGCGGCATACGCCAGCACGCTGGACGTGGGTACGCAGAGGTACTGTGGAGCTTCCAGATTGCTCCAACCGTTCGGTAAGGCTGACTATAGCTGCCCCCTGGCCCCCGTGGGCATGGCGAAGAATTCCGTCGTGTGTCACATGTGGAAGTAGGCATCGGCGCGGCGGCACCGCAGCCGGCTCTCCTTGGCAGAATTCTCGCCCCACCGCACACGGTTGGCCACGCTGTACCACCGGTCGAACGGGCGGGAGAATGCCACCAACTGCACGTGGGGCTTAGGATCCACATCCCCGCCGAACCTCTCGAAGAGGTCGAACAACCGCGAATGGTACCGGTCCTCCCCCGCACAGCGGATGTACAGGAGATCCGAGCGGGAGTCCGCCATCACGCGGTGGGGCACGTGGACCCAGCGGGTCCTCCAAGCGGCCGGGCGGCTGTCTTGGCGGATTCGACCGCGAGGGGAGGGCGTGCGGATACCCCGCCGCCTGGGGATAGCCCCAAACCGAGCGGCATCGGGGAAGGCCGTCGCGATGTACGCCTCGACGGACATCGGCGGCTGCGCCTGTGAGGGGTTGCGACCACCCCGGGGAAGCTGGTGGTCTAACTCGGCCCCGGGTAGCAAACCCCGAACGGCACGAACACCCGTCCGGAGCCAGCTGGACGGCGGAGCCTCGGTCGCCGGGGGCGTGGCCGCGTACGGATCCGGCGGCGTCGGATGGTTATCCGCTCCGGCCGCCGCCTGCCCCGCGGCTACAACCCAGTCAGGGGACCGTCTCAGTACGGTCGTCTCGCCGACGTGGGGAGCCGGGGCGGAGCGCAGAGGGCGCGGCAGGGGACCTTGGTCGGCGGTAGGGCCGCGCGAGGGAAGGACCCCCGCGCCCGAAGCCCGCACCGGCGGAGCTGCGATTCTCGTCGCGGGTCGACCCACGGGACCCGCCGCCAGCGCCGCGTGAAAGGTCGGTACCGGCGCGGCTGGCGCCGCAGGGGGCTGAGCCCGAGGGGGGCGACCCCGCTCGGATGATCGGTCATCCATGCGAGGGGAGGACGGCAGGAAGGGGCGAGATTTGGAAGTGGAGGTAATGGGGTATGTGGCGTCGGGTGATGTGGGAGAGAAGGAGAGCGTGAGGGGGCCCAGTGCAGCGCCAGGGAATCCGACGCGGTCAAATACCAAAAACTCCATAGGCTCCCCTATGGAGTTGGTCGTAGTTCGCCGGCGCCCCGGTGGTCGGCGCGAGCTTCTCCGTACGGATGGGACACGCCGCAGGCCAGTCATGTCAACCCCCAGCCGCGACGGGGACGTGTCGCGAAGTAAGGAAGGGGGTCTGTGGTACAATTCCACACCACGACCCCCGATGGGAGATGAGCACCGCCTGGACGGGCGGTTACTACTGTAGCAATCGGGCACGCGCCCTCGGAAAGCACAGTAGTACCTCCACGGCGTACATGTGGCATAACCGTCGACGTCGGTCGTGGCCACGGGCACACGTGTGCGACCCGTCCGGTAAGTAATTAGCAATTAGTAGTTAATGGCACAAATTAGCCAATTTAGCACAGTAGCTGGTATACAGTACGTAACAGCTACTGTAGCGGGACAGGTGTCCTGGCGTCCCACTTAGGGGTTGAGACCGGGGGCACCTGCCCCGTTCCAGTAAACGGGGGCAGACTCGCCTCCCTTCCCTTTACGGCTAATTGCTATCCCGTTCCGGTTTCCCTGTTAGTCTCAGGCTTCTAACCCGTGACCGGCCGTCCGGATCTTACATTACCGACCGGCTGCGCGTCACCGGCCACGTGAGCCTTCCCTCTTTTCGAGTCCTTCCGTACGGTTTGCGTTCGCGCGTGGGTTACCTAGCGGCGCCCGCTCCCTTACCTCTAACCCCGCTCGTTTCCGAGTGGTCCGGACGAAGGTAGTTATACCACAATATGCATGCAATGAGAAAGCTAATGAGGGGCATGCCGAGCTATCTCCAGAGATCCTTCACAACAATACCATACAGATAGAATATGGAATTACCGTACCGTACAATAAACATATTGCACCATACAATAAGCCGATTCTGGCTTGATACCGCCCAAACAGACCTCAGGAAGCAGTACTTGCTTGCTACAGTGGTGCAAAAAATTATAAAGCACCCCCAAAAACGGGCATTGCTGTACAGAGAAAAGCGCGTGTTTGAAAAAAAGATTTGAAGCCCCTCAGAAAAAGACCGTGATAGACGAATCTGTAACCAGTTTTATAGAGTCGGCACTATATTTTTCATTACAGTTCAATAGTCATTTGACAAGTGGAAATTTTTACAAAGCAGCGTGTCTTATTGTGCTCTGCATGGGGTCTGTAATACTTCGTTGCCCGTCCGTTGCTTTCAACAACGTCAAAACAGCGCTTCTGCATTGAACCCACTAAGTTGTGGAGCGTTTGAGCTGGTATGGCATCCCAAGAAGCCAAGATGCACTCTTTGAGCTCTTGGACCCCTCAAAACTGACGTCGATGCTCGTAAATCTTCCGAGCCAGAATTACCCAGAGGTTTTCGATGGGGTTTAAGTCAGGAGACTTAGCTAGCCAGTTCAGAACCATCATATCCTCCTCATTAAACCATTCACTCACGATATGAGCGCGGTGTATCGATGCCCTATCTTGCTGAAAGACTCAGCTCAGTCCCAGTTTTTGGTCCGCAAACGGCAACAGGAAGCTCTCGAGCGTCCCAATGTACTTAACTGCTGTTTTTTGCCTTCCAAAATCGCCAGTTCACACTTTTTCCCCCTGCGAAGGCTCCCGAAACCATCAATGAGCCGCCCCCTCGCTGGCGCTTCGAAAAATTAGATATTCACGTCTTAGATCATGGCAAAAACGGGCAAACCCGTCCGGGCCGTCCAAATTGAACTTCTTTATGTCACTCCAGACGACGTTGTTCCAGTCGGGAATGGTCCAGGTAACTTTTTCAGTCGCGCAGGCGACGCGCGCAGTCCTGTGATGAATAAGCATTTGCGGAACTCTCTTAATCTTTTTATACGTCAACATTGAGTGTTGGTTCAGTATCTGCCGCACGCGTCTTGCTTGCACAGGCAGTTGTAGAGCGTGAGAAAGCTCTCTATACCCTAAAATACCCTTGGATGCTTTGCGAAGGAGCATGCGTCCACCTGCGACTGGGAGCTTTCTTGGTCTGCCAGCTCGTTTTTTGACCCATAGGTTTCTGGGTTGCGGAGGAAGTTTTGCACGGTCGCCCGACTTCGCTTTATCTCCTTCGCGATGCGAGATTGGGACCATTTAGCTTGGTGGAACGCCAAAATTTTTCCTCGCTCTTCAGCGCTGAGTGACCGACTGCGAGGAATGTCTTCGAGCAGTAAGGGGGATGGAAAAAGGACCTGGGGTGTTCGTGGTACTATTTGAGGAGCTGGTGTTGCCTTTCTCCCGCTAAACACTGAACAACTTGTCCGTGTGGTGTTGTTGGGGTGTGGTGCTTTATATATATTACCACTTCTCAATTTGATTTTGGACTGTAATGCAAAATATTGGCCGTACTGTATAAAACCGTTTACAGATTCGTTTTTCCCGGTCCATTTCTGAGGGGCTGCAAAGCTCTTTTTTAAAAACGCGCTTTTCTCTGTCCAGCAATGCCCGTTTTTGGGGGGTGCTTTATAATTTTTTCCACCACAATATGCAAAACGGAGAGCCCATCTTGCTACGCGTTTACGATGAACTACAGTATCTAGTACTGTATCCGAATCTTAGGCATGTGTCTTCTCCAGCAGTGTTCAACCCTCTGCCAAAGTTTGATCTTATTTGGAGCTCTGCAAGTACTTCTCTCATTTAAATGTAGATTTTGGTTAGAAATAGAGGGGGAGCTGATATCCTTGTACTACCATGCCATGGGTATTGTACCCAAGGGCCATGTGCGCTGCACGTATCTGCGCCTTCCACTGTGGTACAGTATAAGAGCCTTGAGGGAGGGGAGGGACAGCATTGGAAGAGACCCCCATCCACTTCCTCGTTTGACAAAATCGTTGGAGGAGGCTTATCTCTTTATCTCTAATTCTCCTTCTTGTCGCTGTTTAACAGTATAGGAGCCGCAATGTGCTAAAGTGCACTTTTTCCTCCAAAAAGCGGCGCTCGCAGGAGGAGCAGATTAGCTTCGTCGTAGGTCCGGTACCGGTGAAATCGTATGGCACGGGACTTGTTTTGTAAAGGACACGAAGGTTCAAGGCCTAGTACTGTAGACCGACAGCCATACCCTGCGAGTTGAGCCCGAAACAGATGCTGTGCGTGCAGTTTGGGCTCGGTCGTGGTAGGATTGTTTTTTTGCTTCAGGTTACCAATTCGCATACCAGTTTTCTGCAATACAACAATCTTAGTCGGGAGAATAACACACCCTTTAACGCTTCAAAGGTCAATGTTGGTCTTGGCATCTTTCCGCACACATACCGCGAATATCTATTTGCTGTAACGTATGATGGCCCACACGTTAAGTCAGTAGACAAGCTCATGCACTGAGAAGCTAACTGTTGACAGTTGACATCATCTCTTAAATTAGTCATTTTTACGTAGTTCCCCAGCATCCAATTACCTCGATGACGTTGGCGATGAGCTATCGCTCTCCACAACCCCCGACAAAACAGGTGGCGATCGCGGCGCTTGAGTCCCAACTGTCGTATTGTAGTCCTGTAACGCTGTTGGATCATAGTCGAGTTGCTGCCCGTCGCTATCATCAAACAATTCAAGCGCAGCTCTTGCCCTGCCCTGCACTTCGATATGCGGATCATTGAGAAGAGTCCGTAGCCGACACTCAAAGCCCAGCTCCCGTAACCGCCCGATTCGCCACGCATATCCGGAGTCGCTAGCTGTCGTCTCGTCCGGTGCGCACGACATCACTGCGTCCTCCTCGCCCTCATTCGGTCCCACACCGGATCCTGAAGTGTCCATGTCTGCATTCCCCCTTGACCGGTTCTCGCGGGACGCCCTGGTCGCCTGCGCGTTGGAGGTAGAACGGCGGCCTGGAATGTCCGAAGCGTCCAAAGTTTCCAGATGCCTTCGCGCGGCTGGTGACGTGGGAAGCGGTAAGTGCTGTCTCCTGAGCATGCCCAGCATGCCCCGCTGGTTTCGACCCGAGATGGGAGGGCTCCTCATCAGCCATGAAGGCCGCCGCGACTTGATCGACCTGCTTTTCCCGGACAAATTGGTCGTGCACCATACGGCTGCGATACGTGCTTTCTCGTCTGCATGCGATGACCACCACAGAAGGAGCTGCGGAATGTCCGAGTTGATTAGCGATGCCTTGTGCTCTTCTGTCCCAGATGCGATATTACACACAACATACATGGCCTGCACAGCGACTTGCAGGTTGTCGATATCTGCACGAAGCGCGTCGGAAAGCAGCTTGATAAGACGATCCCCAGTATTCGCAAACAACGCATCCAGTTGCTTGGACTGCTGCTCGGCCGACCCAGAGCACGCCAAGTTGCGAATCACGGCCATCGCGAGCTCACGTACGCGCGGGTTCTTGTCCGCACACAGCGTCTGCAAGCTATCGTAACCCAGCGCGGCCATGACTACATTTTTCGTCTCGGCATCTGCTTTGAAAAACAAATTCTTCAGCGCCCACAAGGCATTATCCCTTAGCTCTTCATCCTCCGATCGTATCAAGTCCACGAGCATCTTCGTCGCCCCCCGCTCTAGAATCGCAACGCGAATTGGTGAAAACTCGAGCACCAAATTGCAAAGCGTGGCGCTCGCAATTTTTGACACCTCCCGTTCGTCATTTTGCATCAACCGCAACAGAACTCCTGCCACCCTCTCATTAGACATATCCCTCCGCACAACTTTGACGCTTTTACTCAAGCTTCTCAAGCATTTCAAACAGCCAAGCGCGAGCTCCGGAAATTTGCTCTCCAACCCTTCAACCACCTTCGGCAGCAACTCGAGGCTAATTGCGGCGTCCCTCGCCGGATCATAATCGCCCGTCACAGCCGCCAGCGCGGTTGTTGCAGCAGCACACAGTGCGGCTTCCTCCGCCTCGGACGGAGCGGTCGGGTCGGTATCGTTGGGCTGACCATCCAGCATGGCAAGATATTCTTCGTTGAGCCTCTTCTCTGCATCTGGAGCGTCGTTAATAATGATGGCAAGCTTGTCTAAAAGTGCGCGGTCTGCCGCAGAGCGCTGCAGTGGCTCGGAGCGGTGGAGCAGCTCCGCTAGGGTGTACAATGCATGGATGCGCAGGTGTGGGGTGTCGACATCGACAAGATCGACTAAGGCGTTCGCAACGACAAGGTCAAGGTCCGGCAACAGACGCCCCTTGGTGTGAAAGATGGTGAGTAGTCTGGCTGCAGCAAGCCTCAGGGGAGCAATTGAAGCGTGGGCGACGGGTGCAATAAGCGCTGTTGTATCTTGCCTCTTGGTGAGGGTATGGACCACTGAAGGGTCGGCTTTCGCCAGGGCGGTGAGGGCGTCGAGGGCGGCCTGAAGCGCGTTAGGATGCGGGGCGGCGGAAAGCAAAGAAACCAGGGCCGGAACAGCGCCAGCAGCGACAAAGGCTTGAGCGACAGGAACGTGGGGGGAAAGACGGGCTACGATGACAGCGGCCGGCTCAGCAAGAGCGAGGTGCGGGCCCCGTAAAAGGAATACGAGACGGGCGGGGAAGGTGGGGAGAGGGACGTGTGGGGAGAGGGCCGCGGAATGAGAAAGGGCAAGGAGCCCGAGAGCGCGGAGGGCAGGGAGAGAAGAAGGCGGGCGGAAGAGGGGGGGAAGAAGGGCCTCAAGCACGGCCGGAAGCGAGGACGGCGGGAGGTGCGGGGAGAGGGAGCCGAGAGCGGGGAGAAGGTGAGCGAGCAAGGAAGGGGGGGAGGAGGGGAGGAGGGCGAGCAAGGGGGTAAGTAGGGAGTGGGAGAGGAAGAGGAGCTTGTTCGTGGGGTTACCGATGAGAAGGTTCTTTATGGCGCGGGCGGCGTGGTCCCGGGCCGGGGAGGACGAGGAAAGGGTGGCGATGAGGGAGGCGGGGTTGGACATGGCGGAGGGGTCGGACATGGCGGAGGGGCCGGGCGGGGGTGCAAGAGAGGGAGGTTACGGTTGGGGAAGGGGAAGGGCGTGAGGTCGCGTGGCCGGTTGACGGGCGGCGAGAAGAATTTGAACGCGCAACGGGTGCCGTGGGGAGGTGGTGGTCCTGGTGGCAGGCGCAGTGCTGGCACCAGCAAGCTACAGTACAAAAACCGCAGTTTCCGCTTTATGCGTCCACGCGTCCACGCGTCCACGCGTCCACGCATCCACGCGTCCACGCGTCCACATGTCCCCGTGGCGTAAGTCTCGCGCCTTACACAGTTGGTGCGACCCACCCGCCCCCGCCATTTGCGCTTCGCCACTTCCTCTCTCTCCTCGTCCTCTCCTCTCTACAAGGGCGATGCCGTAGCATCGGCGCCCGGCCGATACCGTTTCGTGTCGCCGGTGCCACGGCACCATGCACCCCCTCCCCTTCGCACTCCTCCTTTTACTCCCCCTCCTCTTCCCCCGCCGCGCCCTCTCGCTCTCTTGCCCCACCGGCCTGTCCTTCCCCGCCCTTCCCCTGGTCAACCTCACCGCGCCGTCCGGCGAACTCCTCTGCACCGCCGTTCTCATCCACCAACGCTGGCTCCTCTCCTCCCGCCTCTGCCCCATCCAAACCCGCACCCT